GCCCCCCAGGCCCCCCCACCCCCCCAGTGTCGGCACTCACTGAGGTAGAGGCTCATGCAGAGGAAGACGATGAGACCGAACCAGGCGTTGAAGGCCGAGGTGAAGTAGACAATGCCGATGACGATGTCGGCCACGGTGGGCGCGATGCTGAACACCACGTAGCTGCACCGGGGGACGGGGGTGTCGGCCTGGGGGCTCCTCCACCCCAGCCTGGCCCCTGCTCTCTGGCGGGGACCCGGGACCCTGGAGGGGGCAGGGGGCACTGCCCCACCCTCCCTCGATGTGATGCCGCACCCCCAGATGACCCCACGCCCCAGGACCTGAGGCCACATCTGAAACTGGGTCCGCCCCTCCCAGCCCGAGGCCCCGCCCACCTGAGCAGGCTGTTGGCGCTGGCGGTGCCGCGGTCGACGCTGCGCAGGACCTCGCCGGTGCGGCGTCCCAGGTGCCAACGCAGCGCCAGCCCGTGCAGGTGGGCAAAGAGCCGCAGCTGCACGCGGCGCGTGGTGAACTGCTGCACCCGCACCCACAGGAACGACCGCAGGTTGCTCACGAAGCCCGTGGAGCCTGCGGGCGTGGGGGCGTCAGCGCAGCCCCCCTTGCCAACCCCTGCCCCCCCCCGCACCGACCCTGCCCGCGACTCACCAGCGCCGCCGCCCTGCAGGAACTTGAGGGCCACGTAAGTGCAGACGGTCCAGGCCAACACGTGCCACGGGGCCGCCGCGGTCAGCTCGTTAACTACGGAGACGGGGGGAGGTCAGAGCTGGCACCGCCAGGCGGCCCTGGGGAGGGGTCCAGCACAGCACGGCCAGCGCCCCCCGCCCACCCGGCGCCGCTCACCCACGTTGCGGTAGCAGAGCGGCACGAAGAGGTTGACGACGCGCTCCAGCCCCAGCAGCAGCAGGCAGAGCAGCGCCAGGCCCTGCAGGCGCAGGCTGCCGCGCGGCCACACCAGGGGCAGCAGCAGCCCCAGCTTGTGCCGCAGCCCCTGCCACGTGGAGCGGCCCCGGCCCCGGGCCCCGGGCCCCAGCAGCGGCTGTGGGCAGA